CCTCATGCAGTGTCTAAGAGCTAGGGACCTCAAAAGGATAACTAGGGTTTGGGTCAGGAGACTTGGGCTGCATCACCAAGCTGCTTCTACCCATGCAGATCCATTTCCAATGTTTTGGTGTTTTTTTAAACAACCTACAAAAGTGGACTGAGGGGGTTGGGAAAGATGGAAAAGGAGGTCAGGATGGACTCAAGTTCCTTTTTGGAGCTAGAGAAGACCCCCTTTTATTTGGACTTCAAACTAACAGTGCACTGACTTCTTCCCATGGCGTCCTCATTTGTTTAATAACTTCTAGTGCTCACTCATGAGACATGGATAAGCTTATGTCCAACTTCTAGGGATGGAGCAGAGGATGCCAAGGGTGGGGAAGTTTTCCATCTAATGGGGCAAGAAGTGAAGATAATGAGGGACAGGAGAAAGAAGAAAGGAAAAGAGGGTCAAAGAGAAAAAAAAAGAGAACAGAGAAAACTCTTTAAAGAAATAGGAGATAGGGAAGTGTGGGAGGAGGGTAGAAAATGAGAGGACAGAAGTGAGATTCCCGGCTCAGTCTTATCTTAGGGGAAATGGCACCCCAGCATCTGCTTAGCAAATCCCAGACCAATGGATTGCTCAAGATCCAGGGAGAAAAATAACAGAGAGAAATTAGAGAACGAAGTGAGAAAGGATTGAGGATACTGGCCTATGTAGATGTGGGGAACGTCCAGGGTCGGGGAGGGGTGGGAATAAGGATTGGTGCAGAGAGATGGGGGAGGCAGAGAAGGCCCAGGTATGGCCCTACTGCTGCCCTCCCCTTCTGGCCCTTTGTCTCAAGTATGGTTATTTCCCTCTCCTCTCCCTTGTCAAATGCTCTACTGGGGGGAAGTAGGAGTCAAGGCCACTCCCTCTGGATTATTTCCTTATGTTCTACAGCTTTGAATATTCCCTTCAATGGAGGATGCATGCTTCTCTGCCATGTTCTCCCCAGATTAAGGTGGGATGAGTTTGAGGTTGGTCTTCTTGGGAGTGTGACACTAGGGAAAAGGTATGTGTTTTGAAAGGATGTATCCATAAAGGGATGGATTCTCTGCCAGTGTCCATTCCTGCTTCCTTGTCTCCATCTGACCAACGTTTGGTCTCAAAGCTACCCCATCCACTAAGGAAGAGAAATGTCTCTTCCCACTCCTGTAGCAGAAAAGGAAGGAGGGAGGGTGAGCTTGGGTCAGAATTCTTGTTATTACCAGACCAAATGACCCATGTCAGCCAAAACGTCTCTGGCATCATCCTGTCCCTCCCTTTTGAGGAAGGAAGAAGTAGCAGACCGGTGTGGAATGAGAAGCCAAAAGAAAGAAACTTTGGCCTCAAACCTGCTTCACCATAGTGGCTCCCTCGTCCCTCTCCTGACCCTCCAGCTCTCTTCCAGTTTCCATCCACTTTTGGTACCTATTTAAACCATATTCTGTCCTTTCCCCTCTCTGGGTGCTTCCTCCTTGTTCAAAACTTCTGGCTTGAAGGAGTCTAGATGTCCTCTGGGAAGCAAAGTTTCCCAGAATGGAACAGGGTATGTCCTTTTCTCTCCTGTCTGTTTGTTCTTGTATCCAGGGTGGGGAGGGAAGTCTGGGAAGACTACCTCTGCCCTGCTCCCCTGTGCTCTGATGCTGGAATGAGATAGGCAAGGAATCACTATCTATCCATCTCCAAGGCACTGGGGAAGGCCCTTGTTAATTGCTTTCTCAACAGGGATAGAATTAAGCCAAAGTTCTGATATAGGCTCTCTCTACTTTTTTCCCTCTTAGCTACCTGTCATTTCAACCTCTCATCCCCTCTCCCAAGGTGAAGGCTGAGAAAGAGGGTTTCAAAATGCAGTCTCCATCCAGCTGAAACCCAAAGGCTGGGAAACCACAAATTTCTATCTCATAACCTGTGGCTTGGGTTATGTTTGTGAGCTAAAGGGCCCAACTCAGTTTAGTGTAAAAGCCAGAGAGTTATTTCTGGAGGGCTACAAGAAATAAAAAATGGAGGTGTTGAGGAGAGAAGAGCATGTCTGTGTGTATACAGGCACAGAATTGCCTGGGTACATGCCCACCCAGACTCCCAGGCTGGGATAGCCACAGGGTCGTGGGAAAGCATTGATGCAAAATGTTGATGGGTTTATCTTATAAACTTCACAAAAAACACATGCTTGAGCTCTCTGCTTGGGAGAGACCTCTCCGCCCAAAAAGTGGCAGGCAGATGATGCTGGTATTTTGGTTAGTGTTGGGTGGGGGGAGGGGGGGGGAGTCTGGGCTTTTCTTGGCTTTTCCAGACTGGAAAGAGTCTTCAGTGCCCATTGAAACTATTTTTGGAAAGTCAATGCAAACCATTTAGAGAGAGAGAGACAGAGAGAGAAGAAAAAAGATATAAAAGTATATATCTCTATATGTAGACATATAGCCTTGTGGATAAATACAAGTCCACACAAATGCTTTGCCAGTCCATCCTCCCCTGAGGAGGCTACACTAAGAATTGAAAAAAAAATCCATATCCACACCCTTGGCATTATTTTAGTCACCTTGGAAGAAAAGGAAATTCCAAGGCTGTGTATGTAGTAATGACTGGTTACGTCTGTATGCAGCCTGAAAGATACACACAGACATACATGCATATAATGTGTCAGTATATGTCTGTCCAGAAAATCCTACCAAGCTAGGATCACTCAGAAGTCTGAATTTTTTAAAAAATAAAACAGTAATGGAATGCATTATCATTTTTAGATAAACCTTGGAAGAATCAGGGGGTGAGGGGAGAGGAATGATAAGCCTGAAGAGGCCTTGGGAGCTGACTAAAGGAGGAGACCCGGGAGAGCCTAGCCCTGGTTTGCCCTTTCTTCTACCACCAAAACCTCTCTTCTCTTTCCACCAAAGCAAACTGAAAAGACTCTCACCAAGCAGTTGGATCCCACCTAATAGCCCAGGCCCTCCCCAGGCAAAACCATTTCCCAGCTAAGGGTCCCTCTTGACAGCAGGCTGTGGGCCACTACAGGTTACTAATTACTTCTCCTCTTGTCTTTCTTGCTTTTCTTGACTTTTTGTGTCCTTCTCAGTGTTTCTCTTCTGTCACATGCTCTCTATTTTCCTCTTCCTCTCTTCCCTTCTCCATTCATTCTCCTTACCACCCCACTCTTCACCCCATCAACCAAAAAAGGGGGTGTCTTCTTGGCTTATTCTGTCTCTGTTGTTGTTGCTTAAAAAACAAAAGGTTGAGAACTTGCTAAAGATTCCGAGGTCCTCAGTTTCTTCAAATATTTTTTTCCCTTAAATGAGATGAAATGAGTGGCATCCTCAGGGTGGAGAGGGGCACTGGCTGGAATAAGGGGAGGGAACTGGGGAAAAGCCGGGGATGGGGGGGGTGAAGGGGCAAGGGATGAGGGATGGGAGGGATGCCTCACTCAACATTGCTGCTATCAAAACTGTGACACTGGAAATCTCCATCAACATATTCCATCCCTGGCAGCTTCATCCCGTACTTGTCCACGCACCAGCAAATGCCACGTTTGCGGCCCCGAGATGGCTTGCACTAGGGAGAGAGGGTGAGAAAGACACAGATGGGCTTGGGGTTGGCACAGGGAGAAGTAGAGGGAGAGTAGGTGAGTGAAAAAAAAATCGTTATCTCTAAATCCTGAATCCCTGGTCTTTCTCTTCCCCAGCTTGGCATGTCTCACTCCCCCAAGTTAGAATTAGATCAGACACAACATCCTTATACTTCTTCATCAAGATTTTCTTGTCTCAAGGCAGGGCTAATTCGCAGGGCTAATCCCCCCACAAACTGATGAATGAGGTATGTTTATCTTAGGTTTTTCTACTCCCCCCTTTTATCATCCTTTCCCCTTCACTGCTCCAACCTATGTAGAGTCAACACTTTACCTAAGTGCTCACAAAAAGATAGGAGAAGATAGCTTAATTAAGTTTTACTGCCACTCCCTGGCATGTTTCCATTTTAAGAAACTACAACCTAGGGGCGTGTGTATACCTTGGGGTGAGCGAACAACAATGATTAACCTAAAGGAATGAATACATTCTTCATGATGGTGACATTCCAGGCAACATGTCACTGGATAGGGGGAGGTGATTTCAGAAGGACAGGTTGGGGTATGTCCCCAATCCCACTGCTTACCTTGCCTGTTCATCAAACTGGTCCTGACAGGCAGCCAGAGTAACTGAAATTTAGTTTGTCCACTACTGCCCTACCTCTCACCACAGACTATTTCTGTGTGTGGTGTCTGACATAATGTTGGGTCCATAATGTTGGGCATTCAATAAAGACTTGTGGATTGGATGAAATCTGAACTCCTTTGACTTTTACCTCCTCACAGAAAAAAAGGTGTCTCCCCCTCGACAACGTCCTTTTTTAGGTGCTAATTTACATTCCCTTGTTCATTAAGCAAATACTTTTTGAGTCCCTGTTCTGTGCCCTCTCATCTCAGCATCAACTTGAAAGGGCTTGCTTCCTATCTTCCTCTCAGTGGAATTTGTGCTCCATAAATCACATTCCCCTAGCCTCCCCAAATCCATTAAAATTACAGTGTCTGATTTCAGTTTTCTGACCCCCTGATCCCACGCAGTTTATACTATGTGACTCCATTAAATTGATAGAGAGACGAAGAGAGAGGAGCAATGCTTACCTGTTTCCTCTTATAAAAGCCTTTACGGTCACAATTGGGCAGGTAAACAGTCCGGGGAACCATGCGGGGGCTAGTTTTGAGCTCTTGCAGAGAAGCTTCCATGTGTCTGCGGCAGGGGCCCTAGGGTGAGAAGAGAGAGTTAGAAAAGTTAGGGCAATCCATTGCGATTGCTAAGGGGGGAAGACATAGGGCCATCTCTGCAGGGGTGCACAGTCCTAAAGAGATGTCATTTATAAGATTCAAGCCCCTTTTTTCTGATTAGTTTTTACTAAAGATTTTTTTCCCACATTAATCCCAGACCTCACCATTTGGCGCCATGTTCTCCACGGGTTTTGAGAAAGCATAAAGTTCTTCTTCCTGGCCCTTGTCCCTGTTTCCTCACTCTACACACATTTCCTCACCTTTCCTGAATTCCTTGCTTCAGAACAAGTCTCTGCCGAAGTTTTTCAAGCACAGGGTTCCAGTGCTGAAATGGGTAGGGGTGCCATTGTAGGGGAAGCCACACAATCCTGTGGGTCATGTGGGCAACCCAAGACTAGTTCTCTCTGGTGTGGGTTTTGATCCTGACTTCTGAAATTTTCTTGAAATGATTGGAACCCGTCCAAGTCTGCAAAATCTTCTCCCTGCCTTCGGGCTAGTCCCCAGGCTAGTACAGCCAGAATGCAGCTCCCTGCTTTTGAGTGGGGCTGATTTGATTATTTCCAAGGTCAATCATGAAATTCCCTCCCCAGCCTTCCCCATAACACCCACCTGGGGATCTTTAGCCATCCCAAAGAAATGTCAAGAATAACGCATGGGTGGCAGAGTAAACCAGAAGTTATTTCCATAAGGACTCACTTGTTCAGACTCTTGTCTCATTTCAGGGACAGAGATGACCCGGGACTGGGCAGTGTTCTCAGCAATGCCAACAAACTTGGACTGGGTCAGCTTCTTCCGGCGGTCTTTCTTCAGAGCCTCAGCCTTCATTTCAGAGAGGTGAACGTGCTTGGGCCGGAAAACTTTTGGGGAGTAGGTCTCCTCAGCCATCTCTGAAGTGGTTGGTTCCTCATGCTCCCGGGACTCCCTTTCTAGGAAGACAAGTCAGAAAGAAGGTCAGTGTCTGGGGATTTAGGGTCTACAGAGCATCACAGTGGAAGAAACAGTCAGTTTGAAAGCAGGAGACCCGGGTTTGCGTCCAGCTTTTACACTGTATTGCATTGCATTGTATTGTATTGTAATTGTATCCTTGGCTAAGTCGCTTTTCTTTCTGAGCTTCGGTTTCTTCATCCACAAAATGGGAATAAAAATACTTGCTCTGCTCACCTCATGGGGCTGCTTTAAGGATAAACCTTAAAAGGTTCCAGAATGTGATGTCCTATGCTGCTTACTCCATGTGTATTGGGGAGGAATATAAAAGGGAGATGGTATCCTTGGGAACCTGAGTCTCATGAAGGAGATAGGGCAGACACATCCAAGGCAGAGAGGCTGGCAGCCTTTGGTAACTGGAGACTGGTCCAGTTAGTTCAAGGAGGTTTCATGGGAGAGGTGTATGTGGGGCTGAGATCCAAGAAGTCTGGCAGACATGAGGAGAGAACATTCTGGATGAAGACAAGGTGAGTGAAAGTGGCAGGGGAGAGATCACAGGATACAGCAGGCCCAGACAGAGGCAGGAGCAGGCCCTTTGGTATAAGGTGTGACAGGTTTTGTTTGACTAGGGTGGGGAGTCTGGGGAAAGGGGCAGTTACAACTTGGTGAGCAACAGGAAAGTAAAAAAAGAGGGCATGGAACCTTAGAAGCCATGCTGAGGAGTATGGGGCAGACTTGGGAGTCATGAAAATCTGGATTTAAATCCCAGCTAATACTGTAAGATCATGGGGAGATTGCTTAATTTCTCTGAACTTCAGTTTCTTCATTTGGAAAATAGGAATAAGAATACCTAAATTATTTAACTCACTATCAACTCGAAGTAGATGGCATGCTGGAACTGGAGTCAGGAAGTCCCTAAGTGTAAATCCAGCTTCAGAAACTTACTAGCTGTGTGACCCTGGGTAAGTCACTTAACCCCTGTCTGCTTCAGTTTCCTCATCTGTAAAAGTGGGGATAATAATCACACCTGCCTCCTACGATCCATCAACTAGCATTTATCAAGCACCGTCTTTGTGCCAAGCACTGTGCTTAGGCACTAAGAATACAAAGAAAGGCAAAAAAACCCAAAACAAAACAAAACAAAAAACCCCACAAAAACAACCCAGTTCCTATTCTGGAAAATAAAATGAGATATTTCGAAAGCCCTTTTCAAACCTTAAATCATTATATAAATACTAGCTGTTGTTTTCATCAGTATGTAAAGCACTATATCAATGTCAACAATTATTATTTGATGGCTAGAGAATGTGGAAAGCAGGTTAGTTGGCCCTCTCTTCTTGCACAGTTTGCTCTTTTTGTCCCAGAATTACTAGGACAGAAGACATATTTGGGTATGGGAAGCAGGAGATTGGGGGACATAAGGGGCAAAGAGATGGGTTGGGAAAACACCACAGATTTTAGGAGAAAGAGCAGTAGGGGGAGAGCAGGACCCCAGGCAAAGGAGCTAGAGGGAAAGAGGGTCAGGAAATGAAGGTCTTGGCTTCTTTTTTTCTCTGCCTTAGTCCTCATGTCCTAACCTGGCTCTATGATCTCTGTCCCAACCAAGCTAGAGTGTTACTAAGTGCTCCATGGTAGGCCAAGAAAATCTGACAGCTGAACTGTGGCTAAAGCAGTTATATATAGGAGAGGACTGATGAAAGTCTATACTTAGCTGACTTATGACCTTTAATGAAACTGGGCTTTTTTCTTTTTCTATTATTCTTTCTCTCTCTTTTTCTTCCTTTCTCTTTCTTTTCTTCTTTATTCCTTTCCCTTTCTCTTTCTTTCTTTCTTTCTTTCTTTCTTTCTTTCTTTCTTTCTTTCT